TACCAATCAGCAATTAAACGATCCGATGCATGGCCATCAGCTACATCGCAGCGTGGAATAAGAAAATGAATGCGTTGTCAAGCTAACTGGTCTGCTAACCAAGGCCCTGACGCTCCAGATTACCAATAGGCATAACAAAAGACCATTTTAGCCTGCATCATTGCATTCCACACGGTGCCAGCCAGCAGGCATTCAGTCAGTGGTCCTACAGTAACCCGTACCTTAAGGATAAACAAATGGTCATTTTAGTCCAGATCGAAAAGCGTGGTTGATTGGTCGGTAAGTCCAACCCCGGGCCCCCCCGGCAAAGCATGCAGCCGCCGCCGCCCGGTTCCAGGCCGCCAGCTGCCGCCCCTCCCGATCCCAACCCCACCGCGTGCACGATCTTGACTTGGGGCGTCCTCTCCATGTCCTCTGTCCTTCCCCCTTCCTCCGTACACACCGCGCATGCCATGCCTGATCATCATGCCCTCGGCCCTGCCTGTTCTTGATCCGATTCCGACTGCCATGCCCATGCATGCAGCTGCCATTGTCGTCGCCGTTGAACTGAACCGGGAGTAGCTAGTAGTAGCAGCAGCCAGCTCGATGAGGCAGGCAGGGCAGGCAGCAGCCACAGAGCACACAGAAAATCAAAATCTCATGCTTAGCTAGCTGGGCCTGGTTTAGATTGTAAGTTTTTTCACTCTCTTTCCATCACATCAAATCTTTGACATATGCATGGAGTATTAAATGTAGATAAAAAAAATAACTAATTACACAGTTGGATTGTAAATTACGTCGAATCTTTTGGTGGTCTCTAGAAGCTACCGCTTTCGCGCTCATCTAAACAAGGCCCTGGTCTCCGTGTGTCTATGTCATGTGATTGGTGGTCTAAGGAAGCTACCGCTGCACTGCTTGATTCTAGTGGTAGTAAAACAATATGGTTTCCCCATGACCTGCTTAGGATGAGCTTGTTTATTGAACGCTGAGAAGAGAAGAGATCCGGTACCTTGCGGCTCAACTGTGTGTAGTATATATATTAGTGTTATTAGTATTAGTATTAGTATTAGTATAGTACTGTATATACTAGTTATTTAATCGGGCGATGTTTATTTGCAACGCATTCACTGGTCTGGCTAGTTATTTAATCGGGCGATGCAGGAGTTTATTTCTAATTAGGACACTGCATTCATTGGGCTGGCTGGGGTTCTGTTGGTCCAGGGGGCAGGTAGGGCATGCCTGCAGGAGTTCCTCTTATAATTAGGACACTGGAGTAGAGTATCTAATTACCGACCAGGACATTACTTAGTCAAAGTAGGATGCATAGGGCCCTGGGCTTTCTTTCTTTCTTGGCCTCTATACTAGAAGGAAAGAAAAGGATATATTTTGGCAAATGGCGTCCACGCATGATTGTAACTTTGTAAGATTGTGCCGTCTCCCTCTCAGTCAAGTCAGTGAAGGTTGGTGCTTGTTTATTATATATATATATTAGCTAACTTTCACATTATGATGTTTGATGTATATGCTAAAGCTAAAAATAATAAAACACCGATTATAAATGGCGAACACAGCTAAAAATTATGATTAGAAATTGTCTTCTGAAAAGAATCCCAACTGTTTACTCCCTCTATTCCAAATTACAGTTGTCCAAATTACAGCTAAAAATTATGATTAGAAATTAGTTATGTGTATTGATCACATGCTGTCGTGTACGTAGTTGTTTTAAGTCAAGCTTATATAACTCTGACCATGTTTGTTGTAATTATGTTCACATAAGATGTTTGAAATACATATATAGCAAAGCTAAAAACAATAAATGTACTAAAAACGGGGTAAGAAAGCTCAAAATTATGATTTGATATTGCCTTATCAAAATATATAATCCCAACCGTGAGACTAATACTGTTGTAGCATTATTCATGGTAATATCGTTCTAGCTAGTATATGAACCAGCTCACTCAGTTTTCTAAGATGACTGTCGTGCACCAGTCTCACTCTCTTTGGTGCACATTGTGTGAAAGGCACAACCTGCCGACGGATATATAGCCCTTGGCATATCAAATTCAGTGCTACCACTTTCAACTATCAAGGAAAAAGATGCAGTGAACATGCTGCTTAGGATGATGTCATGATCCAGCCTGACCATGACCTTTCTGTAGTTTAGCGCCGGTAATGTTCGATTACCTGTTTGCCACGATATACATATAAAAAAACACGCATATATTAGTAGATAACAAGGGAGAGAAAAAAGATGGTCTTCTGTAACTCCGATGGACAAACCTGAAATCCAGGAGGGTCAAAAAGACAGGAAGGCAAGCTAGCGACCAAAAACCCGCCCCCAATTTTCAAACGAAATTAACATCACATCGTGATCAGATACTATACTCGATCGCTAGCACTACATTAATTTGGACAACATTGCTTTCAGATCTCCCCCCCTTTATCTCGCTAGAAATGCAGCAGACGTCCACCTCAGACAGGTGTCCCGCGGAGAGGAGGATGAAGAACAGGTCTCTGAGAGGTCAGCAAACTGCTCATAAATAAGCGCAAGCCAACGGATCAGCTGCCGTCACAGGCCCACGGCGACGCGGTTTAACAGCCTAGCTCGCAGAAGAAGAAAATGCCCCCGATATGATGCCATCACTTTACGAGCCATCCGTCCATCTATCAGCTCGTGTTTTTCTTTTCTTTTTGGGGTTCGTCGGAATGGATGGATTGTCAAAGAGGAGGGAAATGGACAGCAGGAGTGGTTAACCCTTGCATTGCAGGCGTATCTTTCAGGCCTCGCGGCAAGGAGCTGGACTGCATTAGGAGCAGGGGACAGCAATGGGCACGGGGGAAGCTTCCTGTTACGTGCGAGTGTGCAAGATGATTCGCGTCTTGCCTTTTGGGCGATCGTTTTTCTATTACGCATGTGAGGGGACGGTGTTCAGTGTTAACCTGGCTAGCTAAAGTGGCAGAGAATTCTGCCGGCTGGAGGACTTGCAGGGTATCGATTACCTACTTGCTTGCCTAACAGTTGGGATCCCTGGAGCAAGCCAGGCGTTGCGTTTCTGTAGCTTCGTTTAGGTTTCAGATCTCCTGCCCAACTTTGTGAAGTTACTATTTCCAGATATGCATGTATGTGTTGGTACTTCGTAGTTGCTGTTAGGATGTTGGAAACAAATCTTCTATTTACCTGTTCAGAAAAGAATGATGCCAGGAAAAGATTGCAACTCTTCTTGCTCCAGATATATATGTATGTGTTGGTAGTTTGCAGTTGCTGTTAGTATTGCACATATTTCTTCCACTTGTGTGTGTGCTCTCTGACCAATGGTCAGCGATAAATTTTGCCAAAGAGGAGCAGGCATTTTGCTGGAGTCAAGAATCAATTGATCATCATTTACGACACCCATCTAGATCCAGAATCTGGGACGCTAGAATTTCGGCTCTTTTGTACTTTTCAGATTAATATATCCACATCAACCGACAACAGTATTCAAGACCATTTCAAAGGCCTTATAGACAATTAAACAAGGCTATGTTTCAAGAAGAATTAAAAATTAGATGATGAATATGGGCTGCAAAGTTTCAGGAATTAGTGACAGCTATCCTGCAAAAACTTTTTACATAAAGTGATTCCAACTAGTACCAACTTTTACAATCAAACTACCTAAAATTAGTGCTTTCAATTATCACATGGGTGATCTGACTTTTACAATCACTAAATACTGGTGCGTGCTAACGAGTCTCCATCTACACCATGATATGGGCCACAGAACTACAACCCATGGGCACAGATCAAGCTATACCTAGTCTAGTATTTCTAACTTTTTTTTTCATTAGATATTCCATGGTGAATTTGTTCGAAAGATGACTATATTGTAAACTAGTACTAAGACCAAACAGTCTAGAAAACCTCCCGGTGTAAGGTTATAATATAGTATTGCCCAGATATTCTGGTAAAAGAGGGCCTTATAAGTAAGGATGTGATACTGGTACGTGCATTTTTTTTGGAGCAGTAGAGCTCCTCTGCAGCTATCCGCCTATCCCCCCCTCATGGTGCGTTGATAGTGCTTAACAGCAGATGGATTGCTGCTAGTATATATTCTGCAATCTCCAAAAGATAGTGAAAAGTAATACTGCATTCATCATACCTCTAACTGAATGATATAGACTGTCCTAATTAAGAAACTATAAGATAGTTGATCAGTGTGTAAATGTAACAATATAATTTTCAGTACACTAGGAGGGCCTGAGCGTCCATGTAAAATTCTTTTGACTCCCTAGGGCGCTGCTAAGGCGTGTTGTATCAAACTATTTTTCCACCTTAATACAAAGACGCGCAAACCTTTTGACGTGATCGAGAAAAAAAAACTATAAGATAGTTCTATATTTACCAATTCATATTGATAATACATGTATAAATCATATTCCTAACAAATGGTATTTCCAAAATATTTTTTTGTCCAATAACATGTGTGGGCTAATGTCATGTCACTTATTTAAACTGAGTAATCTCTAGTTAATTTTTCATAGAAATTATACATTTTTGTCCCTAACATTCATTATAAACCTTATAATTAATTTTGATTTAACTTTTTTTGAGAAACAAGTAATTTTGATTTAACTGAATATATAATGGAGGCTAAGTTCAATCAAATCTAACGAAGACTGTAGGTCTGAGATCGGCAGATCTGGATCGATCTCTCTCTAGCGCTCCGTTGAGACTTGAGAGAGGGTGGCTAGCCGTGTGGGCGTGTGGCCGAGGCCCATGGAGGTGTGATCGTGTGGAGTTTGGAATCACAAACGGGCCAAATGACTTAGGCAGCGCGAAGCCCATATGCAGCCCTGTCAGCCTTTGTCCTGCAAGCGTTTGGATCACAGCGCCCGCGGGCCGCAGACGAGCAATCTGCCAATCTACCCCACCTGACCCGCGCCGCCGTGCCTCAACCGCTTCCGCGGACGGCCAACACGTCTTCCGGTCTGCCCCGTCGGCGATAATCCGCCGCCGAGCAAAGCAGCCGAGCCGAGCCGAGCAGATGGCGGCGGCGCTAGCCGCGCTCCCCCGCGCCGCTTCCTGCCTCGCGCCTCGTGTCCGCCAGCTTCCCTTCCGCGCTCTCTGCGCCGCAGCTGCGGCCGGGGAGGCCTCGAAGCGGAGGCTGGTCCTGTACACCAAGCCGGGGTGCTGCCTCTGCGATGGACTCAAGGAGAAGCTCCACGCCGCGTCGCTGCTCGCTGGCACGCCCTACTCCCTCGCGTCCCTCGAGCTCCAGGCAAGCCAATTTGCTCGCCCTACTGTTTTGCATTCCAGTAACTAGCTCGTTCCGATATGGATGGATGGATGCTTGACTTGGATTTTGGATGCGGATTAGGAGAGGGACATCACGACGAATCCGGAGTGGGAGCGGCTCTACCAGTACGAGATCCCAGTGTTGGCCAAGGTGCTCCCCGACGGGACTGAGGTATCATCATCGCATTACTCTCTGATTCGATTTGCTCATCTCTAGCTATTCGAATTCAGACTTACTCACTATATGTGCCAACTAAGAAGCTTTTCAAGCATTCTTGCAAATAGTACTTTGATTCGTGGTGCTCCTCCCTTAGTGTTTTGTCGTTCCACACTCATATTGCAGGAAGTACTTCCCAGATTATCGCCACGTCTAAGTGTTGAGCTCGTACAAAAGAAAATTTATTCTGCGTTTGATCAGTAAGGAGGCATTTTTTGGGGGAAAACGGCAATTCTATTTTATTAATTAATAGCTCCAGCTGTAAGATTGTCAATTGTAATACTTTCTTGATTGAGATACATGAATTTCAATTTGCTTGACTTATGTTCTGTAAGGATTTTTTTTTTAGGTTCGTTCATTGCTTTGACGAAATATAATAATATATGGAGTGACATCCAAATACTTATGTTGGTTCTTAAGAATTTATATGTCACACATGACGGTCAATGATGTCACAACGAAACACGGATAACCAAACAGAAATACCATGCGGAATCACAAGTGCTGCTTTTCTTTTTTTCTTCTTGTAAAGAAGTGAAATCTAGGCAACCAAAAGTAGGACATGAAAACAGAAATAAAAATAGAAAATTCAATGCAGGAACAAGTTATACCAGTAAACCAACATGCACGTGGCTCTTTGAACTTTTGTTAGAATGATTCTTCATGGAGATGCATGAGTTGGGAAAATTATCATAATTGACAGATGGCCAGCCATTTCTTTAGCTGTTGCTTATACATGGAGTTCGGGAGTTATCCAGCTTTCTGGCTACTAACTTCCCATTTTCTACTTACACTTGACTGAGATTTCTTACAGCTTTAGCCTAGGCACACACAGCTACTTCATACCCACCTTGGTGTAACTAGACAGCTGCATCAAAGGGTCACACTGGATGAACACGCCTTGCAGGGTTTTGGAAACTTATTGAACTTTTGAGGCACCTAGAGATCAATCACTGCAGAAATAATTAAGGCATGCAATCAATACACATGTATCCAAAGCCCTGTATCCATTTGGTGCAGTCTATTCCAATTTTGAGGTAAACTCAAGCTTCATACTCAGATTGGATAACTTTGAGTACTTGCTATTGCTACAATGCTATGCATTTGCATTAAATCAACCTTATAACAATGATTGCATAACTTTGAGGAGTGCCTAGAAAAAACCCTAAACAACTTACTTCATTTTGGTTTGGGTGCTGGTGCAGTGAATGTTGTTGCTGCCACTGCAATACTGTTTTTCTTGTCCTCAGATGTGTACTTCCTATGAAACCATGTTGACAATTGTGGAGAAATAGTCTTGGATGATACATGCATTAATCTGCGATGTTGAGTGGTTTCATTTTGAATTTTAACCAAAGGAGGACATGAAATTTCCCCGTAAGGATAGGTTTTTGGGTGCTCTGATATTGGAGGCCAGAACAGGGATGGCATTGATGTTGGAGACAAGCTAGGAGCACAGGGTGGAACGAAGGTTTGTAGGAGTGGAGACAACGTCAAATCCATAATTTTGCCAAAAATTGAGGTATTTAGGCCAAGGTTCCTTGCACTCCATTCTGTGATGATTTTGGCTAGCTGTTTCAGCCTATAAGTTCCTAGATAAATGATGTGGTCAATGGAGGAAATGGAAACTTGAACTGTAACTGGTGCTGCAACTGTTGAGCCATTCATATTTGTTAACTCGACATATAATTCCTGCATGTGCAGACATAAGCTGTGACTTCATGCCGATTATTTTAAAGAGAACAAAAATCAATATACAAGTGATTTTAGTGAATGAGAGGGATAGAGTTGGTAACCTCATCTGGTGTTTGCTCCAATGTGGATCCAAGCTCAGTCTTCATCTCCTCAAGAAATCCCCTTATTTCATGTATGGTTGAGTTGAGCGTGATGTTGAAGAGAGGTTGTCTTGAGTCAGCATGTGAAGCATTACGTGGAAACAATACCGTAATCCCTCCTGGGAACCCTAGAATCTCCAAGCAAAATGTGTCTCCAAAAACAGATGGTGTCAAAGATAAATTCAGCTGGTGTAGTGTAAGTTTTATCAAAGATGCTCTCAGTGCATTGATGGATTTTGTGCTCATGGAGGTATTTCTTGGGTCTGGAAGAACACCAAACTTCACATAAGTGGTATCTGTATATATGTATGGCCGCATAGAAACTGAAACCTGCACGATTGTTAGCCAATATTCAGGTGCCTGTTTGGTTTGAGTGCTTGAGAATATTTTTGATTTTTTACTGAAGTGGAGTTGAGGCCATACCGTACTATTGGGGACACCTATTTGGCTATATATCTCTTTTTCGAGCATTCCAGCTTGTGAAGCTACCTGTGAGTGTGGTACTGACAAAATGAAGCCTGCCTCGATTTCTGCAGGAGAAATGAATGTTTGAATATTAAAGAAGGCTAGAAAGAATTGGAAAAACAAAAAATGCATATGTTATCTGTTTGGATCAGCTACGGCTAATTGTTAGGTGTAGCTAAAATTTGCCGATGTGTGTTTGGAGCTAATAGATGTATATATCCATAGGAATGGACAATTAGCTCTTGTTAGGTGGTTGTATCTGGCTAACGGGCTAACAATCAGCCAGGGGGCTTTGCTAATTTTAGCCTTCGGATCATCTAGGACTAATCTTTAGCATCTGGTATCCAAATAGACCCATAAGCTGGCCTGAATCTCTGATGGCTGATATGGCTATCTGCTAGAACTTTTGAATTAATTCTTCAACGTGAGAGGAGGCCTCTGGTCTTACCGGCGAGTATGCCAGGATCATCAGGGATGTCTCCTGATGCTCGGAGATGAAGCAGCAGGAAGAAGGCCGAGAGGAATCCGCTGACTGCCAGGAACAGCACAGAGACGCACTTCCCGTTGACCACCTTTTCAACGACTGCGCCACACCGGCAGCGGCTGGACCTGGTCGCCGGCGCAGAGTTGGGGAAGGCCTGCTCAACCTCAACGCGACCGGCCTTGCCCATGGTGAGTGCATCTGTCACTACTCACTAGTCTCTCTTAAGCTCGTCAGTGGAGACATAATCACATAGCTGGAGCCTGTAGGCTGTAGGCGGCGGCTGCGTTGCGTTGGGGAGCAACTGGAAAGCTGGCGCCGGGGCTCGTCGCCGTTGCCGCAACGGCGACGGGAATGGGGATGGGTTTGGGTGTCAGGAGCGTTGGATGGGAATGTTCACAACGATACAACATAGGCCGGCTGTCCATGGTGGTTGGTTTAGTTTTGAACGTAGAAAAAGGTCTTTTTAGCTCCGGTTGTTCTGACTCTCTGTCCCACGGTTTTTTCCATCTAGTAGTAATCAGCCTCCTCAGAAAGTCAGAAGTGATGCTGCCACTGCAGCTGCGGCAAACACTCCTGCATTTACTGATTTTGTATATAGAAAGGGCAGCCGGGCAGGGCCAATACACCCCCCCTTCTGTTTATGAGGTAATATATATTTTTTGCCCTTCTCCAAAAAATATTGTTTTGTGGCTTCCATTTATTTTTGTGCTACTTTAAGGCTTTGTTTGGATGTCGGATTCACTTCAATCCACATGTGTTGAGGGTGAAATTCTATCTCAATCCACCCCAGCCCATGTGGATTGATACGAATCCAACTACATCAAACCTAAGTGATGCACAAACTAAGGACAGTGCGAGCGTGCATCAGGTTGTGATGACTGATGGGCAAGAACGAGGGATTGAGCGAGATGCTTACAATGCAATTACCTACTCGTGAGTTCTTTAGACAATTAGACCAGTGGTCGCCGCATCACAAGATTCACGACGCTGTACAAATTCTCAAGAGGCGCTAAGAAATCAGCTCGCTTGCTAGTTTCACACCTGTGCTTTGTAATTGTACACCTCATAGGCAGCACGATTCAGTAACTATAATACGGATAATACTATGATGTAACCAGTACAAGACTTGTTCCTTTACTAAGATATTTAAACCGTAACAATCGAGGGGGTAGCATCGATAAGACCGATTGGAAGGCAACAAGGACCTATGTATCCACAATTTTGCTGCCAAGGTGAGTTCACAGTCTGATTCCACAACATGCCTTGATGGAATATCCCCTGGTCATACTTATATGCAAGTGCTGACGCCTAAATATAAGCAGAATTTTCCTGAAATATAGATATTATATTCAACCGTAGTTAAACTACATACAGTACAAGTTGCCCATCGGTCACCACTGGTGTGAAATGTTCTAAGTAAGGCAAAATTGTCCTTTCCAAGGTGAACAACATTTGAACCACAGTGCAACATCAAATAGAGAATCTAAATGAGCTTCTTCTTTCTGAAGAACCCTTGAAGATGCCACACTTGCAAAACCGATACCGCAATGTAGACCCATAGTGCCAGAGTACTGAACCAGACAACCCTTGCATTTGTTGCCTCACTCACAGTTCGCATCTCTGCTTCCCTGCATGGGCAGATCAAAGCAATTAGGGAAATTTTGCTACAAGACATCTAACTTCATTGGATTTGGCTATTTCACACCGCCAACTCCAATATTTGCCAGGTACCATTATGAAATCGTGGTTGTTTGCTGAAACACACCGCGCTCATTAAAATAATCATTTCTCAAATCCGGGAGAGAGAAAGGAGGGAGACTAGACAATTTTGCCCATGGCTCATCTAACTGCAGGTTTTCTTCCATTTCTGCCCCCTTCCTCAAGTCTGGCGACACCATTTCAAGAAGTCCGACGTCGTCTGCGTGCTCTTCTGCACCTACGTACGGCTTCACCGATGACCTACGCCAATCCGCCATTGTCGTCCGCATCCATGCCGGCCAGCAGCGCGAGGGCCTCCTCCCCTGTGGGGCGCAGGTCCAGCTACTGCACCAGCACCACCATCTCTAATTGTGTCAGGCTATCATCGTCATCCATGTCGAAGCGCCGAAAGATCTCGCGGAGCTGCTTCGGAGCCGAAGAAGAGGCGGCTGCCGCCGGTTCACTGGTGGTGGGAGTGGGACTGGTCGGCCGCCGCCGGTGCACTGGTGCCAGAAGGGCATACTTAGCGCGTTCCCTAGAGGAGTGGCCAGCCCAGGGGCGGAGCTCCCCGGCGGCGCGGCCAGCCGAAGGGCGGCACTCCCTGGCAGCGCGGCCATCCCAGGGGGCACGCCCTACCCGGAGGCGCGGCCAGTCCAGGGGCGGAGCTCCCGGTTGCGCGGCCATCCTATGGGCACGCTCCCCGGAGGCGCGGCCAACCCAGGGGCGGCCCTCCCCGGCGGCGCAGCCATCGTAGGGGCACGCCCTCCCCGGAGGCGCGGCCAGCCCAGGGGCGGAGCTCCCCGCCAGCACGGGCAACCCAGGGGCGAGCTCCGCTGTGCCATATCGGCACCATATGAGCGAGAGGAAGAAGATGAGGGCAAACACGTCATTTTTCATAGCTTCTCTCTCCCGGAACCAGCAGAAATTATATTTTAACGGGGGCGGTGTGTTCTAGCAAATGAATCCAATTTCATAATGGTACTCGGCCAATATCGGAGTTGGCGGTGTGCAGCAGCCAATTTCATGTTTTCCGAATGTCCTGTGGCCAAATTTCCCAAGCAATTATTAGCAATCCCGCTACAAAAAATCATGTAGGGCAATAAATCTCTGGGCTTCCCATCTCATACGTCATCACACATAGTCAAAGAACACTGAAGCTAGTCAATTCACTAGTAAAGATCTTCCAAACAAAAGTGAACCAACCCCTCTGCTGCACAGCAGATTGGAAATCTGAAAAACAACACAACTGATCTTCCCTGGACACAACCACCTACAATACATACAAGCTAACTTTTGTTTTGGAATAGAAAAGACTCAATTGGCAAAACACATTTAACTACAAAAGATGTTCCATAGACTGGTGGAATAGATGACTTGCCTTTCTTTGAGGTATATCAAGTTCTGATGAATGGTCTGTACTGCCACTTCAAGTTTCCGAAGCTCTAGTTCTACACCCTGCAGAAAAAGAGAGAGGTAGTATTCAATTAACAAACACCAAATATTGCATTGAATTTGAGCTCATGACACTTGGAACTGTAGCTCGGTACAACAATTCACATTCCAACCTCAATTTTTTCCTTCTTAGCAATAGCATCCCAATCTTTTGTTGCAATCCCAATCTTCCAGTCAAGATTCACAGATACTCCTGATCCTTTCTCTGCACTATCTATCCAGAAGCATGCAAGGTAGTTTCCAGCTTCTGCGGTTGTGAATGCAAATTGACCAACTGTAGCATTCTCACTGTGATGCAAGGTGTTCCCATATGGTGAAGTAACCTGCACAGAGCATTGGACTTTATCAAATAATCACAGGAAACAGTTTTCACTGTATTAGCAACTCATACTGTATGTTTTCAACCAACATAATAATCAAATCTGCAAACTCGATCAGAACGATCTGGCATTTGCTCCTCTACTGCAAAGGTTCAACTCTGAAATATATTTGTAATTGAAACCATGTCATTCATATGTCCAAATGAATGTAGGCGCTGCTCGACGTAACAAAACATGTATTCAGAACCTAGATGTTGCATTGGTGATGCACATTAAATCTGAGGTAAGAAATGAAGTTGATTCTTAACTATGTATGATGGGGGATTACATAGCAAAGATAAGTCTATCAACTTTTCCAATTTACAAGATCTACAGTAAAAGTTTCTTATCATTCATTTGTTCCTGTTACCTTAGCCTTTTACCAAGGCAACGTTAAAACAGTAGACCTAAATGGTGTTTAGAATATTGAAAGATTTTTAAAAAGTTGAGCAGTGAGCTCTCACTGGCTCACTTCAGTGCCCTAACTTATTTCAATTCGCCCCCTATTTTGATACTACATCTTATTCCATCTGGGGACGATTTGATTATGATTCTACCATTTACTTCTTAACCTCGTGGAACTTTTAAGTAGTTCACTGGAAGATAAATTGGCAAATCCCATAAGATGCATAGCCTAGTATTCTGTGATTCTATCCCAACTCATGGGTGACATCCTAGGTGGAACCACCATTACTTAAACAGAAGGAACCAGCATGGTTTGAGAATCACCTGTGTCATGAACTGATTCATAAAATCTCGTCGAAGCATAAGGCCAACATTCAGATTCAGATTTTGTACAGTCTCCTAATGCTCTGGTGTCACCATATTGCTCGATAATAACAGTTCTCAATAGAATGCTAGAGCATATAGAACAGCATTTCCTCGTTATTTAGTACTCCTATTTACCCCGAATAACAGGTCAGAAGACATTAAGAATATACTCTTACAATACCATGAATACACTCGAGAGAGGCACTAATTTCTGCCTTTATCAAGCACAAAATCACCCAAGGCAGTTCAGTAACTTCAACTAACCCAATAAATTTGTGGTATCCGTCAGCCACAGCACCAAAAAAAAAAAATCAAACCCTTTACACTGCTCAGCTCCATTTATAATACCCAAAAGTACCATAGGATTAAACTCTATCGCCCAGACTAATCGCTAATCGGAATGCATATCAAGGCTCGCAACACTGAATCAGCGGAAGGAGAAGGTGGGATGCGAGTAGGGGTGGGACTCGAACATGATGGAATAGTCGGCAAGCACCACCACGTTGGACTGGATCTCCTCAGACACGCATTTGGTCCCCGACTGTGGCACGTCCAGCCACACCGCCTCCGCGTGGAGCGACGCGATGGCAAGCGCCACCGCGAGGGCCTACGCCACCGCCATCTCGGCCGCCATCCTAGGGATCTCCGCCTCGAGGGATCGGGCAGGAGGGGAAGGATGCCTGTCAGGTACTCAGGTGGAGAGGAGTATGGCGTCGGCAGATGAGACGACGGCTGAGGAAGTCGGGTAGCAGTTTGGAGTACAAGGGGTGCCCGTGACGTGGTCACGTGATGCTGGTCCTCTCGCGATGGGTCATGTGTGTATGATGAGTGGGCCCGCAATGACGTGTCAATGCTCGCTGTTTGCAATATGAAAACATGTAATCAAATTATTTCCCGTCACAATGGGACAAATAACTTGTTATACTATAACAGTTCCTGAATAAATTAATTTCTAGAATTATTCTAAGTCAAACTCTTTTTATGTTTAACTAGATTTATAGAAAAAATACAAATATTTATGATATTAAATAAGTATATTTATGATATTAAATAAAGTTTATGTTGTATGTAATGATACTAATTTGGTGTCATAGGCCTGTTCGCTTCTCTTATAATCCGTATTTTTCAACTTGTTTTTTTCAGCCGGAATAGTGTTTTTCTCTTATAACAAATTAGTCGGAACAGTATTTCGGCTTGTTTTTTCAGTGAAGCGAACGGGGCCATAAATCTTGGCATTCTTTCTATATAAATTCAGTCAATTTTAAAATTTTAACTTCAGACAACTCTAAGAGTTCATTTGGTCAAGAACATAGGGACATCTGAACCTACCCTAGTCAAAGTTAATGGACTTTCTATTTTAGATTTAATTTGCTTGTCTTAACATCATTTTAGTTAAATCAATTTCAAGGCCTATAATAAATGATTGGTGTAATAAAGGATTAATGTTGCATGGAAAAATGACTAGAGGTTTTCTTTGTACACGTGCTGTAAGGTTAACAAAGATGGAAGGCGAGCCACACGCTCCCACGCGTAATAAGCCTAGACGCACCCAAGCTCGGCCATCTAGGACACGACATGATGAGTGGTGCGGTGCAGCGAGAGTTTGTATCTCCAAATTGTAAATGAAGCCATGTTGGAGGGGAGGATAGAATCTATTTTTGTTGACCCGCGGATTGAGGATGGAAGAAGGTAGGTGTGAGTGAGGGACGATGAACAAACACTGAGCCCTAGGTCTCAGACTCTTGCCGTGTATCTATGTTTGTCATCTGTAACAAGGAGGAAGTTGGCTACCGAGAGGGAATGGGCCTTGGGTCTTCACACATGCGCATTCCTAACTCGGGCCTACGATGCCTTGTTTTCTGGTCTGTTTGACGTCTGCTCACATTTGACTATCTTTTATCTTTTAATACCAAAATAGATGACCTCCCCTAGCATATTTCCACCACCAACTCCCCTCTGTCTCTTCTCCTTCCTAGCGATGCCTCTCCGTCTCTTCGACCACAAATTATTGTTCATGAAACTGAAGAAAGCGATAGAGAAACTCACCCGCCAACTTCATCGCTAAAAGTCGCTCCATCCCTATCGTCCTAGGTGTCAGTGCCACCACTGAGATCAATACCCATAAGGAGTGAGCTATGAAGCCTGCACATACACTAACTTGCCTTTTCCCTTCCCATCTTGAGTACCTTCTAAAAGGTCCTAATATGGCTAGAGAGGGGGGGTGAATAGTCTATTAAAAATCTACAAGATCACTAGAGCAATTTAATTAGTATGACAAATAGTGAATTGCAAACTTGCTCTAGCTCCACAAGAGTTGCAAGCCACCTATCCAATAATTCTAGTTACTATGATCACTAGGCACACAATTTGCTAAGTCACTACTCACTAAGAGCTCTCATACTTGCTACACTAAAGAGCTCCACTAGATGAACTTAAACTATAAAGCAAGCTCTCAATTCTAGCTACACTAAAGAGCTTGCTACAACTAGTTTGCGGAAATATAAATGAGTGAGTAGGGTGGTTATACCGCCGCGTAGAGGAGTGAACCAATCACAAGATGAATACCAATTCAATCACCGGGAGAATACCAAAGGGCAAGAGACAACCAATTTTTCTCCCGAGGTTCACGTGCTTGCCGGCACGCTAGTCCCCGTTGTGTCGACCAACACTTGGTATTTCGGCGGCTAAGAGGTGTTGCACGAACCTTGTCCACATAATTGGACACCGCAAGAACCTAACCACAAGTGAGGTAACTCAATGACACGAGAAATCCACTAGAGTTACCTTTCGGCTCTCCGCCGGGGAAGGCACAAGACCCCTCACAATCACCGGGAGATGGCCATGAACAATCACAAACTCATGCCAATCCTCCTCGCTACTCCAAGCCATCTAGGTGGCGGAAACCACCAAGAGAAACAAGAAATCTGCAGCCACAACGATCCTCAAGTGCCACTAGATGCAATCACTCAAACAAATGCACTTGAAATCATTCTCAATCTCACTATAATGATGAACCAATGATGGAGATAAGTGAAAGGTATTTGCTTAGGCTCACAAGGATGTTAGGAATGTTAAAGTGCCAAGAGAGTGAGCCCCAAGTTGGTACCTTTCTATTTATAGAGCCCCAAGACTCAAAGAGCCGTTGGGCACTCTCGGGCTGATCGGACGCACTGACCGGATGCGCCCTTGTGTCCAGTCGGTCAGCGTCCGGTCGCACCGATGGCCGCCACGTGTCCCCGTTTAGACTTTAGCCATCAGATGCCAATGGTCACTTAACATTCAACATGCAGTCAAATAATCGACCGAACACGCCGCTTCAACACACCTGACGCAGAGCCACGCCGCGTCCGATCAATTCCAGTAAGAGTCCAGAGACATTTTTCGTCGACCGAACACGTCAGGTCACGAGTGACCGGACGTGCCCAGGAGTCCGGTCAGCTCCCCGTGTCTCTGCTTGCGAAAAACCTACCGACGTCAGCGTACGTCAGCCGTGACCTGACGCAGCCCCTACGCGTCCAGTCGCGCTCTGACCTTTGCGTCCGCTCACCTGAAGAAGTGACCAGATGTGCCGGTTAGGGCCAGAGCCAGCGTCCGGTCCTTCACCTCGCCCTCGGCCAGACAACGCTGCTTCGGTATAATTGACCGGACGTGCCCGAGGGGAGTCCGGTCACCCCGCGGCCAGCGTCCGGTTGTGGACTGTCTTCTCCTTTTCGTTTTCTAAGTCCACAACCGCTTCACCCTTGCTTCCAACTTGCTAACCACAAAGTGTAGAACTAGTGTGCACGAGTGTTAACATTTTTCAAAGCATTTTACAAGGGTCAAGGTTAGCACACTAGGTTCCTAAATGCATATGCAAGAATCATGTCACCTAGTGGCACTCGATAAACCATTTAGCCAAAGATTTCCCCTCTTTATAGTACGGCTATCGATCCTAAGTCACTCACACCCTCTATGGTGTCTTGAGTGCAAAATAAAAACATATCTTATACCTTTGCCTTGATCTTCTCGGTTTTTGTTTTTCTCTTTCTTCTTTTCTAAGTTAGAGCTTGATCATCGTCAACACTTGTCCATCTTCATCTCCATGGACCTCACCTTGCTCACTCACTTAGATTGCACCAACCTAGCTCATATCACCACTCATGACAAAGGTTAGTGCTAGGCTTTATCAATTATCCAAAACCAAACTAGGGCTTTCAATCTCCCCCTTTTTGTAATTGATGACAACCTATTTACAAAGATATTCAATGAAATTTTCTTGGATTCATGTTGCTTTCCCAAGTATATTACCATATGTAAAGATTATGGACAAGTTTCATCAACC